AATCAAATCACCAAATCCAATTAATCTAGATGAATAAAATATTTCCAATTTTAAATTGTAGAAATTTAGTTTATATCCATTAAGAACTAGTTTGGAAATTGAAATCAAGTTGAATCTAGAGATATAAACCACATTGTCCAAAATTAATTTATAACTAATACTCAAAATTCTTTCAAAGTCTCCTATGGCTTCCACAACCACTTTATTTCCATCTCCCAAAAGGATGAACTATTTATTTGGTTTTGGCTTCCTTGTCCTTTGTAGTCCTTGCATGGTATTAACAATATGAGTTATTGTACCTGAATCAATCCACCATGAATTAGAACAAGACTTAACAAAATTAAATTCACACATTATAGAAAGATTAGTATTTGATTCTTTCCCTTCCAAACCCTTCTTTTCTAGCTAACTCTTAAACCTTGTACAATCACTTCTAAAATTGCCCCTCTTGTAGAAGAAGTAAGTGTGCTCACTCTTTGGCTTTCCCTCAGTATTCTTGTGCCTCTTGTCTTCTGTGTTGGACCTTTCCTCTTCTTCTCACCTTTTATAACAAGAATTTTTTTTTTTTTTTTTTTTAGTTTTCAGCCTCTTCTCCTCTTGTATGCACATAGTTTGAATGATTCATATTTAGCTGGCAAGGAGGTCAGAATAAAGGTGAATGAGAAGGGCTTTGTAACAATCACACCAAGGCTATTGATCTTGTCGCTTATGTCCTTCATTTATAGAATATGACAACCCATGTAACGAATAATCATGGATCATTAGACCTAAGAACACTATCTACATCCATGGTTATCATTTATAGAATATGACAACCCATGTAACCAAAATTTGACCTAAATAATGTTGTAACACAACAGCAAATTTGGCTTCCATTATGCCATCAAATAATTTTTTTTGAAAATTAATAATCACAACATTATACACGATTTCAGTCGTACATCTGCAAGTAACCAATAAAAATTAACATTTACAGTAACCCTCTATGTTAATGGTGGGATTAACCGTTTCCACCAACATGGCTTGTTACAACAATGATGCCACTCAATAAATAAATAAAGGATCAAGAGAAATAAATAATGAAAAATAAAATAAATAAACCTCTTGAATTTAATAGATTGGGCATGAACTACAACCCGAAATTCAAGCCATGTTGAGGACAACCGGTATTTCGAAAATCCATTAACATAGGTACACAAAACAAAACAGTGCTAATGGCAGCCATGGGATCAATCTAAGCACAAGGGGTTTAACCAATATAGAGTTATGGTCTTGGAGGACCAGTTTTGATACCACTGAAAGTCGACCATGCATTTCACTAGTATTCGAACAAACTCGATATCAATGATGAAATAATTAAATAAAATATAGTAAAATAGATCTGATCCACTCAGATCTAGAAGACTAGTGATTGACTTTGGCCAAATAGGATAATAAAGTAATAAAATTAAAATAAAATCAATACCTCCCATCAACATAACTACTATTTGATTTGTAGAAGCCGATTTCCTCCTTGTACCAGCCTTGAATCCTTGGAAAGAAATACAACCACATCTTAGTATTCTCTTTGGTGGAAGATGTAGGGAAAGGTAAGGAAACCTTTACAACCCTTGTACTGGTTTCCCTGTCTTTCCTTTCCCTTCCCTACCTTTTCCTTCAAACCAAACATATCCTTAGTGACTAGCTACAAGGACTTGTTCTATCCCCTTAGTCACAATGACTCTCTCTCTCTCTAAAATAGGGTTGATAGGAAAACGCTCTAAAAAATTAGAGGTTCGGTGGTGGAGAGAATGCATATATATGTCTGACTAGGGGAGAGGCGTCCTCTCTCATATTATTTCTTCTAGGCAAGCTCCCCTTATCATAGAATTTTCCTAAAGTGTTGTAATTAATTTAATTCCCTTGATTTTCTTTCGATTAACAACTTCATTATTTCCAAATAAATGGGGTCAATCCAAAATTTTAATTTTAATTTATCAAATCTCCAAAATTCTAGAGCTAATATGGGAAAGAGTACTTTAAGTCTTACCACTCGCTTAATGAGCTCTAATTGAGTGGTTGGATTAGGACCATACAATCTGGATCGTGGCCACTATGATGAGTAACAAATTAAAGGTATATTATCTCATCAGTGATTAGGTTTAACGGTCAAATATCAACATTATTCTATAAAGAAATTGTGAATGAATCATAGATGTGTTGCTATAGAGCTGGTTTCAATATTCAATACAATCTATGTTCCAAAAATAAAAAAGGTCAACAGAATTGGATTAATGTGTTAATTAAATCCAAAACATCATTCTCAATCTTTGAAGTTTGAATTGAAAATATTATTATCAGGAATTAACAGTTAAACACGCAAATTTAAAGTGTTTTACTTTAAATCAGAAATATGTGATACTTTTTCACTTTGCAAGATACCACATCGGAAAGCAAGAGCCCCTTTATTGAAGAAACATAAAAAAAAGGTGATCCATCAATCACCCTTCCACCCAAAATACTACGCAACCCATTGCATCCCTGTTTTTGCATAAACAGAAATTTGCCAAACGAATTGTATGATTTGTCTTCATGCAATTATATGTATACATAATATGTGGAAAATGAATCAGATTGAAATCCCATCACCACTTGTAACAAATGTGCGTACATATCTGCATCATCCCTAATGATGGATCCATTTTCATCAGATGGTTGTGAAGTAGCTTCATGTGAGTAGATGGATGCAAGTCTAGAATAACTTGCCACATGTCACATGTTTCAAAAATCAGGACACACCATTGAATAGATCTATGCCAGAACATTTGTCATATAAAAAAATCAAAATAATTATCTAATTCGGTCATTATTTGCAGTCTTGCTGAGTTTTTTTTTCCCAACTTCAGTAGAAACTCCTTGGGCTGATGACTTTAGGCCCATCTAATTTACTAGATGGGACCCATCATATGGCAAGCTATGAGGACTCCAAACTCATCTATGAGTCATGCTTTTTTGTCATCAAGCCAATGTTTAAAGCCCAACGAGTGAGGGAATCCTTAAAACTTAACACCCCAAAACTCTATATATCTACCTTTTTCCATTTATGATTAATGGCAATATGTAGTTACATATTGTGCTTTTGTGAGCAAGCTTCAAAATATCACAACATTTTGATGCATATCATATGATATCTATCAGTTTTCAGAGTCACTCTATCAGAGTTAAGTGATTTCATTTCTTTTAAATGTTAATAGGTGATGTGATATATCCATTTCTTCTTCTTCCTTTTGATAATTGTTAATAAAGTCCTATGGTGGCCACTCCTTCCACCTGGAATAAAGTTTGGGGCGAAAACAAAAATTATGGAACCAACTACCAAGAAGAAGAGAGATAAAAATAGTTGAAAGAGAGACAACAGAGATGATGTGACATATCGTCATTGCATATCCAAAATTTAAGTTTTAATTTTTTTTTTTTACGAATAAGAATTGAAAGAGATAAAGCATTTTATATAATTGGAGATACAATAAAAGAGAGGACAAAGGGATCTCATTAAATTCAAAATTAATAGAATGCTAAAGCTGAGAGAAGAGTGTTGGAATTTGAAAATAGAGGATAGCTCTCTTGTAAATAATTCAAGAACTTAAGTGTTACTACCACCAAAGTATGGCCCATAACCGCTGTAGATTATATATTTCTATCCTCTTTTATTATTATTATTAAACATGTTATCCAAGAAAAATAAAGTAGATATACGTATAGAAACCAAAAGCCCCTCAACTAACTTCACTTGATTTCTTTATGAAAGAGCTGGATTGATGGCCCATCAAAGCCCAAGGATCTGTCATAAAGAATTGTGCAGTGCTGCATATTGTTATGGGCACACCATCCGGCAGCGCACTGTGGAGTAGTCATAGGCAGCAGCACGCACGGCAGGCACCGCCGCACAGCAGCACGCACCGATAGCGCACAACGTGCACCGCACGGCAGCACGCACCACGCACCCACCCGGCACCGCACGGCAGCGGCACCATGGCACGCAGCAGCGCGCACCGCACGCACTGCACGGCAGCACGCATCGCGCACATGCCCGGCACCGCACGGCAGCGGCACCATGAGCCGCGCGCACACACTGCGCGGCAGCAGCACC